TATATATATATATATATATATATATATATATATTATATAAAAGTAAATTAATTAATAAATAATCTACATAATTTTAATTAATTATTTATGATAATTAATATATATATATAATATTAAATTATTAATCTTGGAATTTATTTTGCAATATATTTTGGAAAGTTAAAAAATAAAACAAATACAAATTAAAATTTAACATAGTTATAATATTAATATAAAAAAAAAAAAATTACTTATCATTATATAAATAATAATTATTTAAATTAATATAACACAGTTTATAACAAGATGTAAAGTAGAAAAATAACGTAAAATAAAAAATATTATCTATAAAAATCTTTAAAAAAAAAAAAAAAACAAATAATAATAAAAATAGAAGAAAATATGCAAGAGACTTGTATAAGGAGTCTAATTAAAAATTCATCTAATCGTTTCTACATTAAATAGTATTCATTATGAATTATATGATGCTTTCAGGAATCATTTATTATGTATGCGAAAGATCACGAAGGAAGCCAGTTGATGAAGAGGAATCTAAACTTGGCAGGTAAATTAATTTCATTGATTACTTTGAAACAAGCGAAAACATATTTTGGCATTTGATTTATCTATCATACATATATATGTGACAAACGCACACGCACACGTAATTACTTAATTACTTACTTACTTACTTACTTACTTACTTACTTACTTACACATCGTACATCAATTTTCTCTGATAATATTTCAAAATGTTTATTATTATTATTATTATTATTATTATTATTATCTATCTGCGTTTTCGTGCATATACATATGTTGATAAGTTGTATTCGTTGATTTTAATAATATTTATAGAAATTAAACAAAAAAAGAAAACACACACACACACACAGAACAATATTAATATAAAGATAATCATTTATAATTATTTACGAAATATTTTATCAACTATAAATTTTGTTTCATGTAGCAAGAAAAAAAAACAAAACAATGTGATCAAGTGATTAACAATATTCTATTATTTTAAATAATTATGGATGATATTATAATGTATTATTATAAATAATAATAATTTCGTAAATAATTTATATTTTAACTAATTTCAACGAATCATCATTATTTCTCTCTATCTCTCTCTATATATATATGTATATATATATAAATCATGTTCTACTACAATCCTACATTCTTATGCTTTGGCAAGTCTGGCGCTAATAGTATATACATACATATATATTATTATATATTATATATATATATGTATTATATCTTATCACGTTTGTTATATCAAATTGATAATCATCATGTTAATCAACGCGTACTGGCATTCGACTATATTTCTCTTTTATTATTAAATAATTCGCGATCCATATATTTAAATATATATATATATAATATACACATATTACATTTATACATAAAACATACTTTAATAAAAAAAAAAAAAAAAAAAAAAAAAAA